AGGTACGCGAGAAACGCGAGGAGCTTCCAGAGGACCTAGAGGTATAGAGAAATATCCTTACGTACTCATGGAAGCCGGCAGGGTGTGCGCTCGAAATATGTAGGGCCTCCATTCCCGAAGAAGTTACGAGTCATAGGAGAGCCACAAAGCCAAAGAAAGAGGCCGAGACGTAAGCGAAGAGACTGGAACTAGAGAGGAGTGCAAGAGGAGAGAGACGCGTAGCCGAGGATCGAAGCGTAAAAGTAAGCGCTCGAGGAAAAGGCCTTTTTTGGAAAAGACTTGTCCAAGCGATGACAAATCCAGAAGTCTCTTACTCGTAGGTGCTCTTTGTTCGTCCGTGAGATCCGACTGCTGCCCGACCAGGAGAGATCGGCCAAGAGTATGATTAACTGTTCCAAGTTAGTCGAAGCATACTTCGGTTGTTGGCTTTATGAAAGCGCACGTCCCGTATTAGGATTGTCAATAACTGCCAAAGGAGAGGGAGGCCAGATGACAAGGAATCGAGAGACAGAGGAGAAGGAGATTCGGTGGAGAAAAGTCGAGCAGAGGAATCGGGAAGGAGAATTCCTGGGGGCCCGGCTAATTAACCACTGGAATCGATCTGACGGTTCAGCGGATGGACGGACGGATGGATGGATGGGTGGACAAAGTTATCGTTAGATGCTCGGATGGTTGGATGGTTGGATGGTTGGATGGTTGGATGCTGTGGCGAAGCGCGGCTGCCTCGACGGGATCTAAGCCTACGGATACCGCAGAGAGAACAAGATAGATACACGGTACTCTTCGAGGACTTTCACTCCAAGGAATGGCTCTCCTTACGAAACGCGCCTTTTCTCTCTCTCTCTCTCTCTCTCTCACTCACTCACTGCCCTACCCTCCTCACGCTTCGCTCCCTTCTTCTGACGTACACACGCATAGAATTCATGTATCACGCGACACGATCCCAGAATACCAAAGTCCAGTTGTACAACTCCATAACTCACCGCTAAAATAATTTCCAAAAAGCACAGGTTTCTGTCTCGTCTCTGAGAGTGCAGAGTGCAAGACGCATCTTCGAAAACGAAGGGAATTAATGCAAAGGCGCCGCGGCGGCGACGGTAATGACGATGGCATTATGATTTTTAATTAAACCGAGTAAAAGGGGAAGCAAAAGTGCAGCGAATTATGACTGACGCCGAGACGCCGAAAAACTTGTATTATTCTCTCTCCAACTCTCTTTTCGTCTTCTCTCTTGCGATCTCCAGGCCACGCTTGCGCGCGCGCGCGCGTGTTTGTGTGCCTGTCTCTGCTGTACGAGTGGGCGCCAGGGAATAAAAACAGAGCAAAGAGACCGGAGGAGAACTGAGACAGTCATGGGGGACTGGAGGGGGCTATTCTAAATTCAAAAGGCTGTTTTTAAATTCGTACACCGGAGACCCACCGCAGTAACAGAGCCAGAGCCAGAGCGAAGCCTAAGCCTGGAGAATGATCCATGAGGATGTAGGGGGATCTCAGAGAATGACTGAGCGAATGCGTGAGTGTGATGAAGATCGCCAGAGAGAGAGAGAGAGAGAGAGAGAGAGAGAGAGACTAGCAGAGGTAGTCTACGGGAAAATAAATCCAGCGTCCCTTAAATTCATCGGAAATAGAATTTGTCTTGCGCTAGACTCTCTCTTTTACTGAAAGACTATCAGGGGAGCGAGAGAGGAGAAGCGGCAAGAGAGAAGGTGCACGAATTCTCGCGATCTCGAACAGCCCCTAAATTACGCGTTGCCTCATCGACCTGAATGCGACGTAGCTGTGAAAGTGGATGAGCCTGAAAAAGATGAGGAAACTAAAGACGCGATCGTAAGGGAATCCCATATCCGGTTGATGCTCGAGCCAGGAACGTAGACATGGGGTTCTACGTATAGAACCTCGGTGGGTGAAGCGGAGAAGCGGAGAAGCGGAAAGGTGGAAAAATGATATTAGCATCGGAAAACGGAAGAGTGTAGAACGTGAAGCTGGGGCGGAAGTAACTGGAAGAAACTCGCGGCTGATTTACGATCCCGGTCGGGAGACTCTCCTACAGGGAGAGGAATCCTCGAGGGAGTCGCGAGGAGAAGGATACACGAGGGAATACACTCGATCCTTCATCCCCGGAGACGACACCTCTTACGAGGGAAGGTTGAGAAACGTTGAGAAACTTTGAGAAATGGCTGCACGGCTACCGGGTCACTCGGTTCTCTCCTTCTCGTGACAGAGTCGACAGATGACGGAATCGGCGAAACGCAAAGTCTCAGATAGTCGAGTACTGGCCGAAGGTAGGAGGGAAAGAAGGCCCAAGAAAATTGGCAGAAATGTATGGCTAGTAAACTACGGTTCTATTGGCGGTGATCATGAAGGAGGAACGATTGATAAATTTTCGACGAAAGCCGCTTCTGCGGTATTTCCCTGAACTCTGGAATTTCGTAAAACCGCCTCGTGGTTGGCTGCAGGTAGGAGAAGGAAGCGAAGGAGACGACGGAGGTGAGGAAAGTAAAGGAGTTCGTGGCTCTTGGGCCACGGAGGCCTTTGGCCTCTCGAGAGCTGGAGGCTGGCGGAGAGGAAAATGGGGAGAAGAGGGTGACCCTCGCCATCCAAAAAGTCGAAATCGCCAGCGGCAAGACGATCTTCCTTATGTTTGTCTCCTCGATGAGACGAGAGAGCGAGAGAGCGAGAGAGCGAATGTTTGCGCGTCTCTCGCGAAAAGCTTAAAATTCCCCTCGAGACGCGGAAGCTGCCTGGTAGGAGGTGGTGGGAGGAGGTGGGAGGTGGTGGGAGGTGGTACAAGTTTTGGGCAATTGCTACCTACCTGACAGCCCTTGTAAGAAAAGTTGAAAGGAAGAGACGCCCTGAAAAGAGGCACTACGGGATTTCTAACTCGTCTGAGGAGGCTGCTGCTGTCTTCGTGAGGATAGAGAGAAGCTGAGCCTGATGTTTCAAATGCACCGGCAGAAGGAGAAGGAGGTGGAGGAGGACGTCTTAAATTTTTGACGAAGCCACTCGCGGCCGTCGGGCACCGTCAAACTGCGAAAACTGCGAAAACTGCGAAAACTGCGAAAACTGCGACACCGACTTGCGACGATCTAAAGCTTCGGGCTTTCACTCGAGTCTGCAATTTTGTGGATGCGTCTTAGTCGCTGCGCTATACTCGCCGTATTCCACTTCAGTCCACTTCACTCTCCTCTCCTCTCCTCTCCTCTCCTCTACTGCTTTACTTTACTCCGTTCTTCCGTTCTTCCGTTCTTCCGTGCTGCCGGGAGGGGTAGCCCGCGCGAGAGAGTCGGAGGAGACGCGTGGTATTGATCCTGTAACTCAGCCCCTTGTCCTCTCTCTCTCTCTCTCTCACACACTGAGCCCTTCTCTAACCTAACCTAACCTAGCTTCGACTCCCGTCCTCCCTCCTTTTGATTCTCCGCGGCCCTACGCGCTACAGTAACACGGTGAACCCTCGAATCTTGGGACCAGCATCCCAGCCGCGGATGGACCAGGACTGCTCGTCGTCATTGTCGGCCGTCCAGAGATTCACTCAGAACGAGAAGACTGTTGAGTTTCATTAGACAGCAGTCGCGTAACGGGGACGCCATTAGTGCTGCCCGCAAAAGTTAAGCTTCGTTCAAGTCGAGCGACTTAGCCTCGCTCCTTGGCAAGGAGTCTGCGTCGTTTCTTGTCTCGTCTCCATCGTAGCTGGAATCCAGCTTCGTCATCTCTCAGTGTCCGACGTTGACCTGTTCTTCCTCTTACTCACTGACACTTGCCGAAGGAAGATGCAGCCGCATCCGTCTGCCCCTGGTCCTTTTGTCCATTTTTCATGGTTCAGCAGTCATTCGGAAGATGCAGCCGGCGGCAACTCAGTTCAGAAACAATGATCTCGTAGCGCAGAGCTATTAATTAATTCGACGGGAGGAGTACAGGTGCCAAACGGCGTCCATTGGTTCGGCTTCTCGCCAATCAACTCATTCCCGTTGTCGGAGAAAAGTCGCTCCTCTTGCTTGAACGCGTAAGGACTTGCTTAAGGATTACGCAATGAACCGGCCGCGCACCCTGCGCACAACCACTTGGTCCGTCCGTCGGAGCGTGGACGGACATTCGCATATAGTTGGCAACCCCGATGATTCGCGATTACTCTGACTGAATGCGCCGATACCATATTATAGGAGAACCAAAGAGAAGCTTTATTGTTGTAGATGTATTGCTAAATGTATTTCCTTTTTTTGCAGGGAGCTGCCCAACGAGCGAGAGTCACTGAAGCGGTGGAGTCGTCGTTCTCTTGCTCGTCGTCGCAGTCCTCGTGGTCGTCGTTGGAAGACGTAGAAGGGCTGCTCGAAGAGTCGACAACGGAGGCCGAGGAGGACGAGACGGAGGGTGGAGGCGGGTGGCGGGTGGGCGGCCAGGCCGAGGGGTCGCGTGCAGGAACAAGGAAACCCGAGAAAATTGGCAGAGGAGAGAAGGGGTTGGGGGGGGACAGAGAGGGAGACGAGTGAAAAGGGAAGAAAGGGGAAGAAAAGGGGAGAAAAGGGGAGAAAAGGTGCTCGGTGGATGTGCGGCGGGTGCGTGGGGCCGGAGGGAAGTGCGTGCATCGAAGGTGGCTGCGTAGGTGCCTTCTCTGACAGCGCAAAGAGTCGGCTCTCGGGAGAAAGTGA